AAGATTTATTAATATTGTATGTTCCAAAAAGCATTATTTGTAAAGATAATACCGAATTTACATTTAATAAAGGTAGATTATTAGAAATATATTTTCTATTAAGTGTAAGTTGAATTCTTGAATGCATACATGTATATTTTAATGATTACATATAATGTGGACAAGCATTTGCAGTACGTATTTTACATATTCCTTAATGTTTGAAAATTGTTTTAGTAGCATAATTATATACCTATATATATATAATTTCAATTGGTAACAACCTGAAATACAACTTACATGCAGGATCTTAAATTACCAAGATGGGCGTAAAGCTGTGATACAGAAATAATGTGATTTTGTTTTTTATTTTTTTTAATTTTTTTTTTAGGTAAAAATACGTACAAGAAACTTTCATATTTAAATTTGGGAAAAAGTTTCAATAATTGTGAGGCATATTTTATTTTGCCAGATAGGCAGTACAGGGGCCCTTTTTAACCAGTTATAAAAAAAAAAAAATTTAAAATTTTTCTTTAAAAAACCTTTTCAAAGACCGGTAGTTTATTGATTTTTTTATTTTTCATAAACGTCCCTTTATGTTTTTTTTTAAAATCAAAATTTAAAAACTTTAAACCAAAAAGAAAACCCATTTTTTAAATTAAAAATTTCTAACAGGAACCCCCTTTTTTCCTTTTGAAATAAAAGAACTAAAAAGTGTGTGTTTTGGAAAACAATCACAGTTTGACGTTCTATATTTAGACATGTACGTTAATATTATACACGTGGGTAACCACTAAAAATCCACGCGCGCGGGAAAATAAGTACGGAAACAAATCAGGCGCAATTTGCTTATCTATCAAGTACAGCAACATTTATTTGTTGATGTCGTGTTAGAATCGAAATAATATATCCAAATCGGTGATTTATCGCTTGATAACATCAACTGTTTGTGTCGTTCGGATGCGCATCATTATATCACTCGGGCTACGCCTCGTGATATAATTCCTCGCATCCGAACTCCAAACAGTGATGTTATTGAGCGATAAAATCACTGTTTGGGATATGTTATTTATAACAGTGATGTTATCAAGCAATAAAATCATCGATTTCGATATATAATTTCGATTCTAACACGACATCAAACAAATAAATGCTGCCGTACATGATAATTAGCTAAATTGCGTCTGATTTGTTTCCGTACTTATTGTCAGCGCGTCATATTTTAAGTGGTTACGTCACGTGTATAATGATTACGTCACATGTCTAAATATAGAACGTCAAACAGTGATTTTATTGCATTATAACACACACTTTCGGTTCTTCTATGTTCAATAGGGAAAAATTCGGGTCGTGTTAGAATTATTAACAAGATATTAAAGTCAGCAATTATTGAATAAATGCAGGCCTCTAATATGTGTACGAGTCCAACAGAATCTTAATCCAGTATGGTACTTAACAATGTATAATGACTTCTTTATAAAACACCACCATTTTTTAACATCAAAAAAAAACTTTATTCTTGAGATCCATACTGTCCATTTAAAGTCTTATAGTCCTATCTTTGTTGTTGGCAATAATTTTGAATCATCCCTTCGGATTCAACACAAGCCAAGTGCACTTTTTATATAGTGATCATGTCAGTTGAAACTTTGCCATGGCATCTTGTTCCTGCCCAACGACGTCATTCTTCAGAATCAAAGAAGTGATCTCTGTAAAAAAGAAGGAAATATTATAATGTTGCCACACACAGTAGTTATTGACAAAATGGTGTAAAAATTGTGAGAATAATCCATAAAAGCTTAACACAGCAATGTGCTTTCAAAATGTATATATTTGGGTCCGAGTGGAGCATCTCTGAAGTTGAGTCCGAGTGGGAGCATTTTCCAATTTTATTTAAAAAAAAAAACTTTAAAAAAACTGACTTTTGAATAGAAATATTTGAAATTAATCTAAAAAAATGTGTAAACATGACTTGGTTTATATCCCGGTACGTTAAAAATAATTTTAAAGAAGGTTTTCAAACTTTATTTCTTATATGTTTCGGGAAAAAGTCCGAGTGGGGGCATTCAGAGAAAAACATCTTATCCCGTTTTAGTAAACCATGCATGAACTATAAATGATTTACAATTATCTATAACTTAGACATTTCTTTGGTGCGCTACTTTTTTTTGAATATCTTACTTTTTCATATAATAAAATTGATTTTACCTTTAGTCACGAAAAAATGGTCCAAGTGGGAGCATTCAGCAGGTGGCGTGACGTAGTATACCATTGATTTTTCTATGCCGCTGCACATTGATTCCCATAACCAAGATAACATTTTTTACCCTTTTTTTTTTATGAATTGATTTGGTCATTTATATTTGAAAGTAAAGGAAAAAATTTTTGAATATTTTTTTATTTACTTTGCTTATTTTAGACTATTTAGAAACTTTATCCAGAACCCGCCAAGCTTTTTACTAGCAGATTAACATCGCCCCAAAGGGGTTTGTTTTCTGTCTAGTTGTGCGAGAAGGTTATCTTTATTTGTAAAACTCCAGTATGACATGTAAAACTTACACTATTATTTGAACAGGGCAAATTTCTTATGCCAACGCTAAAATGCAGTTACTTTCATGATGTTAAGCATGTATTATATTATTTGTCACCTAATATTTCTATCCGATGTTTATTTAAAAAAGAAATTTTAAGCATTTATTATACTCTTATACCCTCAATAGTTATTTTTCTATTACGCTTTGAATTTAATTGAAATTCATACTGCCGAAATATCAAAGGTCATGTCCTTGACTTACGACGATCTGCCCGATGCATCACAGAACCGACATACCCTTAGAAAAGGAAAAGAATGTCTCTGTCAAAGAATAGAAAGATGTCTCTCACAAGTCGAAAGAACAAACATCATTTGACATTGCTTGTAAAAATGTTTTTTTGGCTAGAGTGTGTTTTCGAAAAGACAGAACAGGCAAATGTGCTCATAAAGACGTTATAACACTTGTGAAATAAAAACATCGCTTTCATTTAAATATAATAGTTCATATATAAGAAATTCAAAAAAAAACAACACAAGGAAACGGTCATGGTATATGTAAAAGTTATTTTATTACAATGAGTGATATACAATAACTATTATGGATCAAATCACGCCGATGCAGCCCAGTGTTTTCTTGATAGATGTAAGAATATGTATTCACTTCTAATCATTCATTTGTCAGTGTATCAGATACCGTTGTAAAGTAAGTTACCAAAACAGATGATTTCATTGGTTTTTATCACATTACTGTAAGGTATTTTATTTATTTAGGTGAAGTTCAGACACAAATAACAAGTTTTCTTAAATATACATTTATATTTTTGAAGTACCTGGACAGCAAAGGATGCAATATCAAACAACAACGCACGCCAAACCGATGCCTGATTCCGTTTAGTTATGCTCTTTTACAGAGCATATAAAGACATTTTCAGCTTGCCGTATTGAAAGACAACATGCAAATATAATTTATATCAATTATACAGATCTTTGACAACATTGTGTGTGCACATTTATTTGTATATAAAGCATTTGTAAAATAATGTTGATTCGTTTTAAAGTCTAATCGGCGCTGTAAAGGCCATATGGTAACTTTTTCCAGCTTTACTAGTGAAGGTAGACCTCAGGTGCCCATCTGTGTGTTAATTTAATTAGATCGGGCTGACGATCAAAGAAGACTGGTTCCTTAAAATCCTTTTTCAGCTTCTTTTAATTAATGCAACGTCACCTCAACCATCCCAGTCCTGTCACTTTTCCCGTGAGGAGTATTTAGGTTTCCATTTTATCTTTTTATTGTGAAGAAATTCCATTTAATTTATGTCATTATGGCATTATGCTCAGTCTTTTCATTGTCAAGTTGGGCTGAATTGACTATATATTTTTAATAAAAATTAATTGTTAAAATGGTGATTGACGAACTGTTGATGTTGGAAATTGTTTAGAATAAGATATAAAGCTGCCTGAATTATAAAAAGACTGACTCATTCTTTATATAAATTAATTGAACTAGAAAATAATACTTAAGAAAAAACCGATTTCGGTTCTCTTTAAAAGTTTTTGTAAGTAATTTATTCAGTGATTAATGTGACAGAGTTTATTCTGTCAATAATTTTGATAAAAGGACTACATGTAGTAGATAATATTTTTTATACTTGTTTGATTTTGATTGGTTAAATACAATGTTAGATTTTGTACAACTTTGGTTTAAGACTAATCTTTGCAAAATTCTTCAGTTATTGTCATTATACGCATTTCCCCCGAAACTTTGGACATAAAATTAACGCCTGAAGAAGGCCACAGAGCAAGGAACTATAGAATACCGGTCTGACGATCCTCAAGCATAAAATTAGAAACATTTAAAAACGTCAATGTGAGTAAGGCACACAGACGTTCACAAAATAGGGGGGAAATCATAAATTGAAAACATTTAAAACTTACTGGACAAGACAAACATGAACGGTCACAGCAGAAAAATCGCCTATTAGCAACACCTCTACTTCGGAGTTAAAAGTTAGTTAATGGGTAAAAGTAACACGCTAAATTTCATCCAGCATTTATCTATAATTATTTCTTTTCTTATTGTATAAATGTTTAAATAATACATAATCAAATATTCATTATACCGAACACATTTTGAATGATCGAATATGTTGTGTCTTTCCTATTCTACAGACAATCTGACTGAACAAGCATGCTGTATCCCTCTGACTCTATACCTCCGTTTGTAACACATACTTATTACATTGTGCCTTTTTGGAGAGGACACAACCATATCCTTGTTGCATTACATAATATAAGGTAGAAGTTACAAAAAACAAACAACAAAAGCATAAGTATATGATGTCTGTCCAACAATATTGGTTTCAAATTACCAAGCACTTCCATACATTATAAATACCGGCAGCTTAATTTAGAACAACTTAGATGTACTGTTGTGTTTTCTTTCCTCATTATAATCAAAATAAGGGGAAAATTAATAAAATACTGTAGATATTTCTGCAATATTTATTTTCCAACTACAGCGGGGCTAGAGAAATCTTCATACAGTAAAAAGCCAGAAAATATGCTATGATTTGTACCGTGGAAACCCCTGTCAGGATCTTTGTTTTGGACAGATACGTCATCACCCTTCTGTAGCTGAAGGACAATAGTTTGACTTGTTGTGTCATCCCCAGTCGTAGCATCTCCTTGGCTAACGTACATATTTGGTATACCTGCTCCATTCACAGCGAACTGCGCATGCGCACTTTGGAAATTGATAGAGATCAGAGTTGTGGAAAAAACGTATGTTCCAGCCACCGGGGCTACGAAAACACCAGCACTGCTGTTGTATGCATTTCCTAAATTAGTTACGATGGCGTCAAAGATAACGGTTTGGTGAGCACTGGCATGTTGAAGATGGGCATTTCTCTTTGCAAAGAATGCAACGGGAGTTTCTACTGATTGTCTGCGTATTCGGTTTGTTGAAGCACCTGAAACTAAAGCAAGCGCCTTAATGTATATCAATAAATGAATAAATAAATAAATAAATAATAATACTATTTTTATTGTAACATCAACTTCATCGTTACTATGCCATTATATGTTATAATAACTTTTGTGTGTCGTGTTGTCACTAGAAACAGCACGATAAACCGCCAAACGGAGCGTTGTCGTGCGGCGCGTTGTCGCGATGTCACATTGTCGCTCAGCGCTTAAATCGAAGCTATTAGTATATGTCTAGCGACAGGGCAACATCGCAACAACGCGCCGCAAGACAACGCGCCGTTTTAGCGTTCTTCGCTAGTGCAACAATGCACGGTTTGGCGCGTTTCGCTAGCGACAAGACAACAAGACGATATTAGGTTGTGTTGTCGCTGTCGACAACGCAACGCGCAAAGTGTACTAAATCAGATACCATAGTTTTAGGATTTGTAAAAAAAGATCGTACCAATCAAATTATATTTAATGTAGTTTTAATTGACTCATTGCAATGTTTGTTGTCTTCTTCGTTTCATAACGTGTTTTATATTGATAAGAAGGCCACATTTTAAATTAGACATACGTTATCCGTTTTGTGCAATGCTATGCCTGCATGAGCTACTTTCTTTAAATTATTATTATTATTATAATTATTATTATTATTATTAATTTTATTTTTATTATTCATTATCAAACCGTATAAACCAGTAGTATACCTTTTTGCTTATTTGTTGCAGCTTTCTCGGCAACTGAAACAGGTCTTTTCCCCTTGTTTAAGTATTTCTCTCTGTCACATATTGCTAATTTCTTAACGATTTGTTTTAAGTTAATATGGCGGTATTTACTTTACCTTGTTCTTATTAGTTGCAGCTTTCTCGTAAGTTTTGACTTGCTCTCTTTCACATACTGTTATCTTCTTAACAATCTTTTCCAAGTAAGAGCTCCTTTGGCGCTGTAAACGTAGTTCTTTCTCTAAGTAAAGCACTTTCTTTTGCCGATGCTTATCTTGAGATTTCAAGAGGTTCACTTCATGAAGAAGTTCCTGAACAAGACTTTCAGTGGCGCTAAGTCTTTT